GACATCCTGTATCTCCGTACACTTTCTATATCTGCTTCCTTCTCTGAAATTTCATTAATCTGAGCCTCGGACCTCAACTTCCCACTATGCTTGCAGAGAAAAGGAAGAAAGGAAAAAGAACAGCAGGGAATGGGCAAAAGAGGCAACAGTCAACTACGTTTTTTGCATTGCTGATTCTAGATAGGATGTCTTCCTTGCTTGTTTGCCTTCATCTGTGGATACTTGGGAGATTATCACATGAGGTTTGTAGTGTGGATTCAGATTTGTTGCCAACATTGCATTGAATCGAATTGAATTGTATCGAATTGTTGCCAACACTGTCAATCACCTTGAGTCACTTTCAGGGTTGAGAAGGGAGGGTATACAAATACTGCAGATAGATAGACAGATAGTAGGGCTGGGCGGTTTCGTTTCGTTAATTTGTAATTCGTTAATAATTCGTTAATTTTTTCAATTACAAAACGATAACGAACCATTCTGGAGCAATTATTAAAAAAAATGAATTTTCAAAAACGTTTTGTAAATGCTTCGTATTTCGATATTGTATTCGTTTCGTTATTGTTTTGAGGTCGTTTCGTTATTATTTCCGCATGTCTGGGCCAGTTTTATGGTTTAATTAGTGAAAAAAAATTATAATATCACACCAACAGTCAACAACAGAGGGAGAGGGAAGCTTCAGAAGGTTTTGGAGGTTTTTTAGCGTATTTCGCGGTCGCGCCCGCCATTAACGAATCGATTCGTTATTGTTTCGGAAATCGATTCGTTAATTTTTTACCATTTACGAAATTTCGTAAATATCGAACTTTTTAAAAGGAAAATTTTGTAATTATTTTAAATATCGAAACAAAAAAAACCCCCAGATACAAATCGATTTTAGAAACAAATTTTTCCGTTGTTACCCAGGCCTATAGATATATAGATAGATAGATAGATAGATAGATAGATAGATAGATAGATAGATAGATAGATAGAGAGTTCCCTAGCAATTATTGGAAGCACTCACAACTGCACCATGTCTTTGTTAAGCCACCTCAAAGCAGCCTTCAAGTCATTTGCAGGCTGTACTTTCAATAAATGGGACAACTCTTGTTTTTAGGTTTCAGAAAGCACTTCTAAAGTGTTTTCGGGTGGTGTGATAAGTGCAAAGTGTTGCTGCAGTGAGTTTAGAACACGGATGCAATCATAGGGACATATTGTGGGCATCAATTTCAATGAGTTCACATCCCTGTCTCTAAGTTGCTTGCCATTCCCCTTCCACTAAACAGGATAAGAGGTCTGTTGGCTGCAAAATCATAACTTCATGCTTTGAGTGTTGTTTGCTTCCCCTTTAATTTTTCTTATTCATGTAACTGTGCAGTTTCATGAGATAGGGATTTCTCTTTTAGATCATTTCCTTTCTGTTTGTAAGACTTCCTTCATCCTTTTTGCAAAAAGTTTTCCATGCTTGTGCAGTCCTAAAGAAAGTTTGCCAATCAAAAGTACACCTCCCCCTTGCAGAATACACAAAATAGCAAAAGACTTGGAATTGCAAAATGTATCTTTAGATTTTTATTAATATTTTCAGTGTTTATATGTGGAGTGCTTGTGAACTTGGGAAATGTGGGTGTAATTAACTGGTGATGTCCCAGTCTTGCGAGACTGTACAACTGTTCCAGGAAAAATATATTAAAAGGGGGGCAATGGATAGATTGGGGGAAGTTATATCCCAGTAGCTGTGATAAGATTTTTTAAAAATCTGAAAGGACTTAAGAAAGGTGTAGTACCATAGGAAGAGAGTTATCCTGTTGTACTCCAATTCAAAGCAAGGTGGGTTTTGCAAATGCCATGACCCATCTTTGGAGCCTCGTGCAGTAAAGTCCTTGATCACAAGGGCAAGCTGATAAATGGGAGAGTAGGATGTGGTGTGAACCTAACGGGCTTAAAAGCACACACACATGCTCTTCATTTCCCTCAGCAGCAGGACCACGCAACGGAGTTATCAGACATATTGGCTGTGGGCGAACAAGAGAAGCTCTGTCCAGAAAGGCTTTGGATCCAAAATCCAAGCAATTCATTGAATGTGCTCAGGTTGAGTAACCCAAACCACAGTGACTGATTCACTGTGCAAAATACACAAGGGTAAAGGATGGGCAGACTTTTCTCTGAGTGGATTTAACAGCATTATTTGATGGTAAAGCTGGGTCTGCACACATGCATCCATTCCTGTCTGTTTGTTTGTCTGTCTGTCTTCAAGTTACCATGGTTACAAGGAACTCTGGAACATTCCAAACCAGGGATGTCTTCCTTTTCAAGAAAGGGACATCTTAAATCTGACCATCTGAAAAATACAGAGCAATCTGAAGCTAAAGCTCTTGTTCAGTGGATTTCGCTTATTCTGAAATAAAGGTCATATATGATATTCTGCAGGGTCTAAAATGGAATAACAGCACCAGTGTTATTTACAATAAACTACTAGGCTTGTCACCAGGATGGTTTTTATTTCTACCTCCTGGCTAACTGGCTCAATATCAGCAGCAGCCACGGGTGGTAGCAAATGTGCCCTTTTGGAGTTGTCTGCAAATGAAGATCAACTGTTGTTGTTTTATATCTCCTTTCCAAACAAATAAAATGAAAATGTCAGTTCTCCAAGGAGCAGTTAACAGTGCTGAGTCCTCCTTACAATAAAATAAAACAATCCCCCTTACAACTCCCACAACTAGGGTCGTGGGAGTCAACATTGATCTCATATATCTCTTGTTCGTTGCACATCATGCAACCAGTCAACAAGCAACACCTGCAGAAATTCCCTTTTCTATATAACCATCAAAGGTACAGGATTCCTCTCCAGTTTTCAGTCTGGCAAGCCATGCACAACATCATATATGACATGAAGACTGGATATATACTGCCCTATATATCAGGATCTGATCCCAGATTATATGGCAGCATAGACTCATATAATAAAGTTCAAAACCAATAATTTGGGATCAGATACCAGGATATAGGGCAGGGTAGATCCAGTTGAATTTAGTGTGCATATTCTCATCACGCTGTATCCCTGCACTCAGGGAAAATATTACTTTGTTCCTATCTGCTGGTGTGGATTGCCTCAGTGCATGTGCACATTTTAAAATCCCAAAACAGCTGATGAAGGCTGTAAAGAAATGGAGCCATGGACACACAGGTGGCTAAAGGGAAGCACGAGAGGACAGCAATTCCCATGAGAGCTCTCTGCAACAATTCCTTTGTTCTGTATGAAGACCTGGCTGTTTGAGCAGGCGTTCGAATAATTAGTGCAATGATTGGTAATGAACATAGGAATGGAACAATGGATGATGAATCTGGATTATGTTTTTGATGACTTGATGATAGTGAATGGTTATTGTAGTAATTGCTTATTAATTGTGTAATGTGTTAGGTTGTTGACTGTTTTTTACACTGTAGCATTGAATTTTTGCTGTTCTTATTTGTTGTGAACCGCCGTGAGTTGCCTTCGGGCTGAGAACAGCGGTATATAAGTAAAGTAAGTAAATAAATAAATAAATAAACAGAGCTTGAATTAACACAGTGGGGACCAGCATCGCAGGCAAGGGACCCCAAAGGGAAATGGCTTTCAAGAATGTATAAGTAAAGGCAACAGGAGGGCGAGGAGAGATGACAAAAAATCTGCTTGTATGCACATTCATATTTCCGCATCAGCACATGAGGTCCAGTGCATCTTGGAGAGTCAATTAATATATATATATTCAAAGTAAATATATATTCTGCTGGATGTCCCCTATTTGGCTATAAACAGACATGTCAGGATGCCAGGAGAGCATTTACAAGGACTTACAGCTCCATGTTTGGACTTGCTGTCAGGTACTGCAATTTCTTGCCCCACTTGTTTGTCCCGAATTATGGGGCTATCTGGAAGCACCCTAATGCAAATATTTTTGTACTCTGTACCTAATTTCCAATAATTGAAGCAATGTAAGAGAAGAAGAGAAAAACTGGGACATTTTAAAATCAGATGAAAAAGTAGGATGACAGGATCCGTTGGGATTATCCTTGCCAAATTAAGACAGTTTGAGAGTATGGCGTTGCCAGTCTGTGAGAACAACCAATAAGATTCAGATGTTATGGTCTAAAAAATCTAAAAGAATATGTTATCTGGGGCTAACATAACCCACTGGAAAACTTGATTCCAGCTTCTTCTCAGTACTTTTCTTCCTCAAGAACTATTCTGAGTCTGGAATGTCTGTTTTAGAGATTCCCCAACAGAAATATCAATATACTGTTGTCAACCCTCCACATTCACTGAGGTTAGGCGCACGGGACCCTCGTGAAAGTGAAAACATGCAAATATTTATTTGTTTGTTTTTTTCAGGTATTTGTATCCCGCCCTTCTCGGGGCGGCTTCCAGCCGGCAACAATTCGATGCCTCCAATGTACACATAATAAAATACATAATAAAATCCAAGAATTGCATACATTTAAAACATGAAATCGCATTAATTAATTAAAATCTGTTTCTGTTTCAATAACAGCCTGGTGGCCTTATCTGAGCCGAATTCTGTAGTTAGAGACTCCATCAAGCATGTCCATAGTCCATAATGACATTGGTTTTACCTGAGGGAATACCTCTCTACAAATTTCTAGATCTTCCTGCATGACTCTATAGTCACTTTTTGCTGAAAGCTGATTATAGAATCACATTGGAAGACACAGATATTCAAAGAAAGGTGTTCTTGCAAAAACTCTCTAGGTTCTCAAGCATGACTAGAAGATGTTGTCCTTGGAGTCACATTGGAGGACCTAGAAATTCTAAGAAATAATATTTTAATTAAATCTATGAATAATCAAATCTGTAAAATTCAAAACTGCAAACATAGAAGGAAGCTTGTATTTATAATGCCAGGCCTCACTGGAAAGCTACAAATCCAGAACAGAAAAGTCTTTTCCTTTATTTAAGCTTTTTTTTTTTTGTGCATTGCAAATAATTTTCTCTCTCTTTGTCTTTTTCTCGTCTTCCCTCCAAGGTGCTGTGCATTTCCTCCTCCGCAGTGGCTAGCAAAAGTAAATCTTCTCGCAGTGATTGCTTCTTCTACAGTTTGTCTGAAGCTGAAGCTCCCTCAAGTGGGCCCTTGAACTCAGTGCTTGGTCCTCTAAGCCATCTGTCCTCTTGGTGACAGCTTGGACTCTTGTTCCTGTTTCAGTTACCCACTGCAAATGACATAGCACTTGAGATCTTTGCCCTGACTAGGGGCCCCTGGTGGTTTGGAGGGGCTTTTCCTGCCTCTTCGGAGAAGCACAATGGCCTTCTCTCCCACTTTATGGATTCTACTGGTCTGTCCCATTGTCTGCCATGGCATTATTCACAATCCCAGCTACAGTGTGGCAACCAAGAAGGAGATCAGCTTGGAAGGAGACCTGGTTATTGGAGGCTTGTTTCCAGTTCATGAGAAAGGTAACCCTACAGAAGAGTGTGGCAAAATCAATGAACACCGTGGCATCCAACGTCTTGAGGCCATGTTGTTTGCCCTAGACGAAATCAACAAAAACCAGCATATTCTTCCAGGCATCAAGCTAGGGGCGCACATCTTAGACACCTGTTCCAAGGACACCTACGCCTTAGAGCAGTCGCTGGATTTCGTCCGTGCCTCTCTCACCAGGGTCGATGGCTCTGAGCACATCTGCCCTGACGGGTCCTATGCCATCCACGATGATGTTCCCCAAGCCATCACAGGGGTTATTGGAGGCTCCTACAGTGACGTCTCAATCCAGGTACCATGGAAAAGAAGGGGAGACAGCTGGGAGGGGTGTAGAGTGTGATGCTGAGAGTCACAGTATGTTTTAGGCTTGCAGTGGGGTAGTGAGAACAGAATAGCCTTGAATAGGAAACAGGAGTAGGATTGAGGTGTTGCCTATCAGATGAAAGGCCTGGAAGAAAGATGGCTGTGATGCCAATAGAAAAACAACATAAGAACACAAGTTTGAAACCAAAAGAGAAGTACTGTTTCTATTTTCTTCATTAAGTTACTGCAGTAGCTATGGCCTATTAGTAGGAAATCCATACTTTTTTCACTTTGTCCCCTTCTACACTGCCACATAATCCAGATGATCAAAGCAGATAAGCTACACTATCTGCTTTGAACTGGATTATATGAGTTTATGATGGCATATAATCCACTTCAAAGCAGATAATCTGGATTTTATATGGCAGTGTAGAAAGGGCCTAAGTCTTTCTCAGCTATTACATTATTTCTCTGAAACAGAGACATATAAGAAATCTTATACAGTTCTGACATCTATTCAGATTTCCTGCTCCCTCCTCTGATTGGCTGAAAAAGGGTAGGCTAGGATCCATCCCGGGATTGGTTGGGAAGGAGAATGGCAGCAAGGAATTGGTCAGCTGAAGAAATGCCCCCTGGGAGCGCACAGTCCAGGGAAAACAAATGGCAAAGATATGTTGATGGGGTTTTGATTAGCTCAAATGTCATGTTCTGTGCCAAACAAAGATATGGATCTTAAGAAACAAAGATGCAGGACACAAGGGATAAAGGTGCTGATCTTGGGTAATCAAAGGGTTGGCTGTCAATAAAAGTGTTAACGAATGCATATACTCTAAGCTTCTGTTTCCATGAAGGGGCGGCAGATTCTCAGCTTTATGTTACTTGGACCAACCTTTGACAAAGAAGTCATCTATCTTTGCATACACACTAAGAATCCGATGATTATCTGGCTTGGGAAATAGCCAGTGGGATTTGCCCGACCTTTTCCATTCCCAGAAGATTATCTGAACAGTGTCACAGAGGGGTGGCTGTTACATTTTGATGCATTTCTAAGAAGCATTTTATATATATTTCATATATAAGAAATAGATACAGTACACAGTTGAAAGATACAAATTACACAAAATCATAAAGTAGATGCAATTTATTACAGGGTTATATGCAATAGAGTTTAGGCTTTTAGAGCTGCTGGTGGTTTGGTCTCGATCTTCTGATGCTTTGAACTTACGCAAGTCCTGTAAGGGTCTTCTTTTAAAGGAAATATATATTGATTTCTGAGCCATTGATTAACTATAAATCTTTTGGGGTGAAGGTGTTATTGTGGCTCAATAGCACATTGAGTTGTTAAACATTAAGGAAGCAGTATTACACATTTTTATTTGGGAGTCGGGCCCATAGAGATGGCTCTACATACCCTGAAGGCACCAGATCTTGCCTCTTCTTGGAAGCTAAGGTCAGTTCTGCTTAGCATCTGGATGGGAGACTGCCAACAAATGTCAGGTGCTGTAGACTAGGACTCAACTTATACTGCTGTATAATTCAGTTTAAGATTTTATTATATGGTCAGTGTAACTGAAATAATGCAGTTTACCTGCACTGAATTGCATTATATGACTCTATATTGACCATATAATGCAGTTTAAAATGACATTGTATAACAGTGTGGATAGAACCTATGTTTCAGAGGAAGGAACAATCACAACCACTTCTGAGTGATTCTTGCCTAAAAGAACCTTGTGAAATTCATGGGGTCAAATTGGTGGACAACTTGAATTCACATACATGCTAGTCCCATGGAACCCTGTAGAACTTACATCTGAGTGAGTATGCATTAGCATTCTTGTTTGTAGTAGTAGCAGTGGTAGTCGTATGTTCAAAATTTACCCCAGTTTGGGATTTTCTTTGGGGGGGGGGGTGTCACAAAACTTAAAATGTAGTTAAAAATGAGTAATGTACAAAGGTTAGGAACCAATTAAGTCACTTGTAAGATTTGACATTGACAAAACAAATTACACAAAATAAAAATAAAAATGAAGTCCAGCACCTTATACAAGAACTGTTTCCCCTAATAAATAAATTATGAAAGGACCTGATTAAAAAACATGTTTATTTGATTGCAAAAAAAAAAAAAAGAGTCAGGATGCTGTCAACCTGGCCTCTCTAGAAAAGGAGCAACCACAAGAGGGCCTTCTCCCATGTTCCCACCCAATGTGTCTTTGAGGATGGCAGGATAGAAAATAGGGTCTTGACAGATCTCAAAACAAAAGAATGTTTGTATGAGAGAGCATAGCCCTTCAAATAACCTAGACATGACCCATATAGGGCTTTATAGGTCATAACCAGGGTTTTGAATTGTGTGCAGAAATGGGCTGGTAGCCAGTGGAGCTGTTGCAATAAGGGAATTGTGTGCTCGCTGTAGCCAGCCCCAGTTAAAAATCTGGCAGCAAGTCTTTGGACCACTCTTCAAAGCAAGCCACGTATAGAGTTACAATAACCCAAATGGGACTACTGATCTGCCTTTTGACTGACCAGGAGCCAGAGGTGGCCCTAGGTAATTTTCAACGGTAAGCAAACAGTATTTTGCCCCCCCCCCAACCAATCTTTGATATATATTTTCTGTTTGTCGTGGGAGTTCTGTGTGCCATATTTGGTTCAATTCCATCATTGGTGGAGTTCAGAATGCTCTTTGATTATAGGTGAACTATACATCCCAGTAACTACACTTGCCGCACTTGCTCCCTTGCCTGGCCCGTCTTGGGTCCGGAAGACCCCGGCGTGTGCACCAAAAGTCACATCTTCTCCTGATTTTCTCCTCAGCCATTGGGACAGAGAGAGAGAGAGAGAGAGAGAGAGAGAGGTGGAGATGCCCACCTTTCCTGAAGGTAGGCGCAAAAACAAAGGAGGGAGCAGAGGTGGGAGATACCTCCAGCCGGAGGGGCTCTCTCTCTCTCTCTCTCTTCTTGGTCCCAATGGCTGAAAGGGCGAGTTTTGGTGCGCACGCTGGGGTCTTCAGACGCCTCCGGACCCGAAGCGGGCCAGGCACGGCGGCTCTGCCCCTTGGCCCACCCGCGGATTGGGGAGAGGAGAGGAGGCGGGTGGAGCATCGGGGGATCGGGAAAGGGAGCCGGTCATGGGGAAGTGATCGAACGCGGAGAACGTTTGAGCGGGCTCTGCTCGCGCACCCGGTGGCCGGGTGGAGCAGGAACGAGAGGGGCTAGGCGAGGCTCAAGGGCCTGGCCCCTTTGGGAAGAGGATCGCCCGGCAGCAAGGCAAGAAAGCCGAGGCTCCCCCCGGACTGCTAGGGCTGTTGTGAGCTGAGGGGGCGCTCCTCAAGTGGCAGTTGAGGGGCATTTACAGAGGCGCCTCTGCGCCCCTGGCAAAAAAAAGTGTTCTGCGACCGCTTACTTCGCGTAATGGATGAGCCGCCCCTGCCAGGAGCACCTCTGTCTTGTTTGGATTGAGATTCAGTTTGTTTGCCTTCATCCAGTCCATTAGTGATGTCATGCACTTGTTTGGGACCATACCTTGGATGGAGATGGCAAAGAGAAATAGAGTTGGGTGTCATCTGCATGCTGATGACACAATTCCAAAACGTCAGATGATTCCAAAACTTCCAGTGGTCTCATGCTTATGTTTAAAACTATGGGGAACAGTACCAAAACCTGAGGATCTCCACAGGCCAAGATCCAAGGGATTCAACAGGAATTCCCCAGTATCACCATTTTACTTGCTTTTCCAGGAGAAATAAAGCAGTGCTTTCAAGTTCCATCCCAGCAAGCTGGCCCAGAATACCATAGCTAATGGGATCTAATGTTGTTGGAAGATCAAGCAGGATTTTTTAAAATGACACAATTCTCCTGTCCCATTCATGTTATAGGGCATCTTTACAAGTTTACTAAAAATGTCTCTGTTCCATAACCAGAACTGAAACCAGATTGACATAGATCTGAATAACTGATCCCATACAGAAACCCCTGGTGACCACCACATACTCCAGTACTCAGTCTGGCTGATAGTTATACAATATGGCAATATCCAGTGAAAACTGGTTTATTTACAGCCTAGGGATATGTTGTAAATATGCAGTAGGTTTAACAGAAAGATTGAGAGAGAGGGAGAGATAACATTCTCCTAACATTCTTGTTGTACTGCTAAACATACAATAAGCCTCTCTTGTTTATGTAATGATGTTATGCTAATGCTACACATGATTTCAGGGCCTGTTTCTTACAGTGGACATTTGTTTCATCCTTGCATTATAGCTCCATAAAACAAATGGATCTCCTCCTTTTAGATTCTGCACCTCCAAAATGGGTTCTTTTTTGGTGTCAGGATGTGTGCGTCTTAATTCTCAGAACAAACATGCTTCTCACCTCTAATGTAATGCAACTGTTTGGTTGCCTGACATGATAAATAAAATAAATAACCTCTAAGCCTTTGCATTCCTAAACTTCGGATTTGGAACCTAGAGATTTCAAAGCCTTTTTCCTCTATCAAAGAAAAAAGGACCCTGATAAAATGAGACTAGGAGACGTGCTGTGAGACTCTTAGGGTGAGATGGGGGAGTCAGATAAGTTGAACACCTTAATTTTTGCCTGACAGACACATGGACACTTTGCAAGTGTTAACACAGAACAGGGAGGATGTATTTGGGGCAATACAGCAGATGGTCATTAGGGCTGCGGATATATTTGGAACAGAGACATTCAACTCTAAATGCTTTTGTGCATCCAGGGTTTGTGGGTGTTTCCGAATGTCCTCACTTTGTTTGGTTGATGTTTCCTGAGACTCAATAAAAATGGTAATCATAGGCTGCTTCCTATACCTGTGCCCAGAACAGAAACAATCTTTTAAAAACCAGCCCTGGCCATCGCCTCTTCCTTTGGGTTCATCCCTCTCAACAAAAGTCTGATCGGATTCCAAGCTTGCCTACCACAAGGGACCACATCCCAGAGCATTCGTATGACAGTATAATTAGCTGCTGCTCTTCAG